TCAGTGTGTCCTTTGCCATTCCCTATCACTCCTCCCTGAGAGAGACTTCACCCTGAGTCATAAGGAAAAGGGGATGGCGTATTCTCTTAGCTACTTCCTGGCTTGGGACTAATAGACTAACAACTGGATTTGCACTGGGTGATATTCTTTGCCTCCCCCACTCTCCAACTTACTTCCCTAATAAATTCCTTTCTTGGTAACACAACTGTGAGTAAAGTCTGTAAGTCAGCAATGAATAAATGAAACCTCTTGCTGATGGTGTGGCTCTAGAGGCACCATGGGGCTGGGCTATGGGCTCTTTCTCTGCTTTCTGTTCTGGGGCGGTGAGGGGCTAGACAATTCTTACTCCCTCTGGCCCTTTCAGAAAGACACTGCGGGCCCTGTGCCCCTATGTATTGTTTCCTTCTCCTGTGCTTCTTTCACAAGCAGGTTTCCAGAGACAGTAAGTCACATGGGAGGAAGCTTTCCATCCTTCTCCCACTAAGCAGCCAGTGGATTTGAACTATGTGTCTTTGAGTTGGCAGCACAACTCCTTACCACTAGACCACAAAAGCTATGGAGTAGGTTACCAGAACTCTTTAATCTTGGAAAAGTTAACAAGCATGAGAAATGAGATAAAGAGAGTACAAATTAAATACCAAAGTTCTACTCCATTATGTCTATTAGTTCACATCTCATTAGTTACTTCTAGCCAGTACCATCTGTATTTGCAATAAGACTCTGGAGAAATTTTTAAAAATATTCATTGTTGGTGAGCTCTGGTGGCCTAGTGGCAAGAAGCTGCACTGCAATCCAAGAGGTGCATGGTTCAAATGCACCAGATGCTCTGCTGGAGAAGGAGGAACAATCTCCTCCTATACCAGTCAGATCTGATTTGACGGTACAAGAAAAAAAATAATAACATTTAAAAAAATATTTATTGTAATTTCTTTCTATTGTAATTTCTTATCACTTTTAGACATACACAGTAACAAAGATACTTTGGTGGGTTTTTTTTGGTTTGTTTGGTTTTTTTTAGGGGAAGACTTACCTCTTTGTAGCACTTTTCCACAATTTCATAACTGGCATTACCCCACACGGTTATGTGTTCTCGTTTGTACTGCTTCACCAATTCAGAAACCTGTAAGTGAAAATTTGTAACTTTATGAACATATATTTGTTAATCCATTTCTATTCAGTTCAAAAGCAAACTGTGGCTACCTATTTGTGAGGGATAGTATAAGATTTTGGAAGGATCTCTACGTAGATACAGATACTTCATAGAGTAGAAGAAATTATTTCTATTTTATCAGTACCCAATATATTATTATGTAACTATTTTAGGTTATAATTTAAAAAATTAAAATGAAACAAGTTAAATAAGAATTATATAAATGCCAGTATGATTGGTTCACAGAGGTTAATTTTTCTTCATGTCTCAGGCACAATAGCTCTCTCTGAAATAGCTTCCTAAAATAGATTTATCTCTTCTAGAGGGCATTACTTAAAACAATACTGATCTCTTCAGTATCATATTTCCTTCAACATGAACAAACTGTGCAGTCACCTATTCTATTCTTAGTTTTTGAAAATTGATGCAACACACCCAGAAGAGGCAATGCCTTAAGTACCTTCTTAATCAGCATACTGTTGTTGACTTTGATATCGATGTTAATAGGAGTGTTAGGAAAGGCCTCAAAAACTTCCTTCAGTAATGGAATTCGGTTATCTTTTCCTTCACAGTGGCATGCTGAGAAAGCAAGATTTTAAATGTTCTTTTAAAAGATAGTTTTTACTTTTTTTAATGATTAGAAAAGTTGTAGGACAATCACTAATTATGAAAAGTATAGAGAATATGCAGACAAGCACACAAGCAAACAGGAGTGGGAAAGAGAATGGTGCTACACTTACAAATACATATAGGATATTTCCACACATGCATTTATATGCACTGAAAACACATCCAGATAGAGCATTTAGTACAGTAAAAAGTACCTGGTGTAACATGAGGAAAACGGTGTGTCAGGTCCTATCCTTTCACCATACTTACTCAATTTGCATACTGATCAGATCATCTGAGAAACTGGACTATATAAAGAACATGGCATATGGATTGAAGGACTACTCATCAAAACCCTGAAAACCCTGTGATATGTGACACAACCTTGCTTACTGAAACAACCTGGTATGCTGAAAAGGAAAAATATTTGAAGTGATGAAGATCAAACACTATACCCTTCAGTACAGAGTAAAATTCAACAACAATAAGAATCCTTACAACTAGACCAACAAACAGCATCAGGATAAATGGAGAAAAGATTGAAATTGTCAGATTTAATTTTGCTTGAATTTACAATGCCCAGGCAGCACTCATCAAAGTCCATATAACATTAGGCAGATCTGTTGTCAAGAAGCTCTTTAAAGTGCTAAAAAAAGCAAGGATCTCACTTTAAAGATTAAGATGCCCCTCACTCAAGCCATGCTGTTCTCCAACCACCCAATATGCATGTGAAAGCTGGACAATGAATAAAGAATATTGAAAAATTACTGATGCCTCTTAATTTTTATACTGCAAAGAATACAGAATATACTATGGACAAAAACCAAACAAATCCATCTTAGAAGAAGTACAGGTAGAATGTTCCTTAGAAGGAAAGATGGTAAAACTCTGTCTCACATATATTGGTCATGTTATGAGAAAAGGCCAGTCCCTGCAGGGGAAAACTAGGGACACTGGGCAGTGTTTTGTTCTGCTGTACAGAGTCATTCTGTGTTGCAATCATCCTGATGGTACCTAAGGAAAAAAGGGCCAAATTTATGAAAGTGTCTTAGTCATACTCAAAATATCCAAGAGAATGAGCTGCTGGGTTTAGAGCTGAGGACCATAGTCTCATGGGACATCAAGGCCAACCAGCATAACATAATCTACAAAGACCATATTCTACATGCTACTTTAGTAAGTGGCAATTCAGGACTTAAAAGTTTGTGAGTCGCTAACTAAGGTGCAACTACTGGTCTCTCTCTTTTACCTTCTTGGTTTAGGTATAGGTTTTGCAAGAGCACAGTCACCACTGGGCCAACAGGGAACAACATGACAGATGGAGAAAAGACAGAAGTTGTTTTGTGTTTTTTTTTTTAATTTTATCTTTTTTGTGTGTGTGTGCATGTACCGTCAAATCAGATCTGACTGGTACAGGAGGAGATTGTCCCTCTTTCCCTGGCAGAGCATCTGGTGGATTCGAACCATGCGCCTCTGGGATTGTAGTTGCAGCTGCTTGCCGCTAGGCCACCAGAGCTCCCCGTAGACTGAAGTTGTTAATGACTTCATCTTGTTCAGACCCACAATCAATACCCTTGGCATCAGCAGTAAAAAAAAAATCAAAAGATGCTCTTCGCCATTTTCCCAGTTTCGCTGAAGCTGCAGCCATGAAGGTCGAGCTGTGCAGTTTCAGCGGGTACAAGTTCTACCCCGGGCACGGGAGGCGCTACACCAGGACCGACGGAAAGGTGTTCCAGTTTCTTAATGCAAAATGCGAGTCAGCTTTCCTTTCCAAAAGGAATCCACGGCAGATCAATTGGACTATCCTTTACAGAAGGAAGCACAAAAAGGGCCAGTCGGAAGAAATTCAAAAGAAAAGAACCCACCGAGCAGTCAAATTCCAAAGGGCCATCACTGGTGCATCTCTTGCTGATATAATGGCCAAGAGGAATCAAAAACCTGAAGTTAGAAAGGCTCAACGAGAACAGGCTATCAGGGCTGCCAAGGAAGCAAAAAAGGCTAAACAAGCATCTAAAAAGACTGCAATGGCTGCTACTAAGGCTCCCACAAAAGCAGCGCCTAAACAAAAAATTGTGAAGCCTGTGAAAGTTTCTGCTCCCCGAGTTGGTGGAAAACGCTAAGGAGGCACATAAGGCTTAAATAAAGATGGAGTTGTAACTCTAAAAAAAAAATAAAAAATCAAAAGATGACCTCTCCAGAATGCTGGAAAACAATTATATCAGTCTAGAGACTAAGGTGTGCCTGATCCAAGCATTGGTCTTCTCAATTGCTTGCTATGCATTTGAGAGCTGGACAATGGCTAAGGATGAGAGAATTAGAATCAATGCCTTGAAGTTCTGCCAAGATAATAAATAGGCCTGTCCTGGAGAGACAGAGACCAGGTTGATTCTTGGAAGCAAGAATTTTGAAACTCCTTATCACACATACTTGGGGTATGTTGTCAGAAGAGGTCAATCCTTGAAGAGGAGCATCATGCTTGGAAGGGTAGAAAGTCAGTGCAAGAGAAGAAAAACCTACATGAGATGAACTGACACAGTGACTGTAGCAATAGAATCTGATGGTGAGGTTGGCTTAGAACAGGGCAAGGTTCAGAGCCACTGTTCACAGGTCACTATGACTCGTAGTTGACTTGAAGGCCCATAACAACAATAACATTGGTCTCTACCTAACCAGAACAGAAAGATGAAGAAAATCGGAGATGCATGAAAACATTAACATAAACCCACTTCTGTGAGATCAGAAGAACTAGATAGTATCCAGCAACCACCACTGACAACTCTGAAAAGGATCAATGTTGGAAGTTCTGGATAGAGTGGGAGAAAAAATGTGCAAGAAACTAAAAAAAAAAGAAAAGAACAAAAGAAAAAAAGAGCTCAGGCTTACAGATCAATTAGAGACTAGTGGAACCCTCAAGACTATGGCCCTAAAAAAAAACCCCAAACAACAAAACGAAAGAGCTATGGCCCTTAGTTGTCCTTTAAACCATCTCTGTGGTCAACCTTCAAGCTTTCAGCTGAACTATAGACCTACAATGTACATAATAATACCAGAGGGATCCTAGGTCAACCAGCAATAAGAGATCAAAGTACAGCATTTACTTATGGATGAAGCTTAGAAGTAGAAAGAGTGAGGAAAGGATGAATGGAAATGATAAACTCTGGAAGGAGGTAGGAAGAATGTTATTACATGGTGAAAACAGCAACCAATGTTATGAATAAAAATGTGCATAAATCATTACCAATTTGCTTTGGAAGCTTTCAAATAAAAAAAAATTAAGAGTAGAAAAATCATCTAAAATCCTACTACAACCTCTACATAACTATTTTGACCATTTGGTCCTCTACTCTTTCTTATGCATGATTTAATATAGTGTTTGCAAATCTGAACTTGATCTTTTTTTTAAATTTTTTTAAAAAATTTATTATTTTGTGTGTGTCTATACCATCAAACCAGATCTGACTGGTACAGGAGGAGATTGCCCCTCCTTCTCCAGCAGAGGATCTGGTGGATTCGAACCGCATTATCTCTGGGATTGCAGTGCAGCTTCTTGCCACTAGGCCACCAGAGCTCCCCTTGAACTTGATCTTTTATATACACAAAAATAAGTATTTTCATATTGACACACACACACTAGTTTCTGTAATTTGTAAGCTAAAAAAAAATCAGAACACAGTATTTTAGTTCTGCTTGGCTCAAAGAGCAGCCATTAGTCACAGAAAAAGTCAGCTACAGTAGAATCAATGCTGTTAATTCTCATTCATGGAAACGACATGTGTGTCAGACCAGAACTGCTCCTCAGAGTTTACAATGGTTACTTTTTCAGTAGATGATCATGTCTTTCTTCCAAGGCACCTCTGGGTTAGCAGCTCAGAGTGTTAACCATTCAAACTACTCTAAGAGTATTGGGCCACATGGGGCTATTTAAATTAAAATTAAATAAAGTTAAAAAATGAGTTCCTTTAAATTGCAACAGGCACATTTAAAGTGCTCCATGGCCTTCTATGTCTTTTGGTTGTACTGTATGATCAGATACAGAACATCGCCATCACGTGTAGGAGGTTCTATGGTAGCACTGTTCTAGTTAAGCAAAAAAAACTTTTTAACATGTAATTGTGAAAAATTGATTAAGCAGTCAAAGAGGATTGACAAGAAGCAATACCTATTCACACTAAAATAAAATGCATGGAGGGATTAAAAGAGGGGGGAGGAATCACATGAACAGGATAGAATCAACTTTGGAGCAGTGAACTGACTATTAAACAATAAAGATTATTAATAAAAGCCTAAAAAATCCCTCAAACTTATTGCCATCAAGTTGAAACCAACTCCTAGCTGGCCCTCCTGCAGGTTTTCAGAAGCTGTAAGTAACACAGGAGGAGAGCACTCATTTTTCTCCTGAGGAGTGGGTGGAAGACTTGAATCCTCTGCTTTTGGGTTGGCAGTGCAGCTCCTTACCTAGTAGACCACCAGACTGCCTCTAAAAGTGGGAGAACAGGGAAATTTAAATGTGTCCTAAAACACAAACTGTGTGCTAAAGAGATGTGAAGCTATTTAAATTAGATGCCTGAGCTCACCTGCAGTTTAGAAAAGGAAATAGGTCTAGTATTGTTCTTGGCTGAAGAAAATCAGCTGGGAGTTGGGAAACCACAGGAAAGAAAGAGGAAAACTGGGGCGGGGAAGGGGGTAGAACCAGCAAATTAAACCAAGGGTAATAGTCCAAGAGTATGTAACAGGACTGTTGGGTGGTGTAATGTGTAAAGTGACCCCTATAGTACACCAGAACTAACAATCATTGTCAATCTGAGATTATTCAAATTACCTATTTTCCTGAGAAAAGAGGACTTTCAAATAGCAAACCTTTTAATAATAACAACAACAACAACAACAAACCTTTGTGGGGAAAAAGAGCAACCTTTTCACATTCCTTCTTTACATTTGGGAGCCCTGGTGGCCTGTAGGAAGCTGTGTTGTTAACCCAAAGGTCCTATCTCTCTAGTGTCTGAATCCACCAGTGGCTCAGCATTAAAAAGATGAACAATCTCCTCCACAGGATTTACTGCCTTGAAAACCCACAGGAGGGTCCGCTATGACTCAGTTCCAACTAGAAGGTAATGAGAGAGAGTCTTTTTATTTACTTTTTAACATAGCACATGGTCTACCACGCAACATTTTAAAAGAGAAGGTTACTACTCCATTAAAATAGGGAACCAACTCTGGTGGCCTAGTGGTAAGAAGCTGTGCTGCAATCCCAAAGGCCCATGGTTCGCAGCCACTAACCGTTCCCTGAGAGAAAAATGGACAATCTCCTCCCATACTATTAACTGCCTCTGAAAACCTGCTGGAGGGTCAGCTATGGGTCAGTTCCAACTCAATGGAACATAACAACAGCAAGAGAGCAAGAGGGCTGACATTTAGGTCTCTAAAAACTTATAAGCCCGCAGCTACCATATCATTTACAACTTGGTAACCTTCCATTGGATTTGTAAGGTTGTAAATCTTAACAGGAGGCAATGGTTTCATCTTTCTTCCATAGAGCGGTTGGTGAGTTTGAACTGTTGACCTGTTGGTTAGCAACACAATACCTAACTTATTACTTAAAGAAAAATGATGACAAGTTGTGAGCAAGGGAATAGAGTTAAAATAAACTAACAAACCAGAGCAACTTTCTGAATATCAAGTTTTTACACCATATTATATATATTACAAAAATATCATTCATGTAGAGGGTCAGCAAAAAGAGGAAACTTCAAGAAGGACTGACATCATGAATACAATAATGTGCTCAAAGATACAGACGAGTGCAAGAATGGCACAGGACCAGACAGTGTTTCATACTGTTCTATCAAGAGGTTAGTATGATTAAGAACTGACTAAACAGCATCCAACAACAAAAAAGGTTTACATAGGTTACACAGGTTTGCTGTTAGGTACCACCAAGTCAACCACAACTCCTGGTGAGACTATGAACAACTTTACCCTATCCTGCCTGCACCATTCTCCAGTCTCCACTATGTTCATGCCCATTGTTGTAGTCACTGTCAATTCATCTCATTGACAGTCTTCCACTCTTTTGCTCATCTTCTATTTTAAAAAAGAATAATGCCTTTTTTCCAAGGGCTGAGACCTCCTGACAACATATGTGGAAGTACGTGAAACAAAGTTTTACCATCCTTGCCTCTAGGGAGCACTTGCTGTTTTGAGACAGTCTATGCTATATTCAACACTCTTTGCCAACATCACATTTCAAAGGCATCAATTCTTCTCTGGTCTTCCATATTCCTTGACTAGTTTCCACATGAAAATACTATTTGCTTGCATGAGGCATATGTTAGGCTTAAAAAAGATACCCTTGCTTTTTGTACTTTAAACAGGTCTTTGACAGTAGATTTGTCAATGCAATAAATACGTCTTTTGATTTCTTGGCTGCTGTGTCTATGGTGGTGATTGTGGAAATGAAGTAAAATGATTCACTTGACTGTATAAACCCAAGTAAAATTAAGTCACTGGCAACATCAATCTATTTTGCACTATCATGATGTTGCCTATAGGTCCAGTGGTAAGGATTTTTATTTTCTTGATGTTGAGATTTAATCCATATTGCAGTCTTTGACCTTGTTCAGCAAATGCTTCAAGTCTTCCTTACTTTCTATAAGCAAGGTTGTGTCATTTGCATAATTCAAGTTGCTTATGTGTCTTCCTTTAATCCTGATACTACATTCTTCTTCATACAGATTGGTTTCTCCAACTATTTGCTCAGCGCACAGATTAAATAGGTATGAAGATAGCATACCACCCTGATGCACACCTTTCCTGATTTTAAATCATGCTATATACCCTTGTTCTGCCTGAATGACTGTTCCTTGGTCTATGTATAGGCCTATGAACACAATTAAATGTTCCAGAATGCCCATATTTCACAATGTTATCCATAAAACATTATATTCCACACAATCAAATGCCTTTGCATATAAAAAAAAAAACAACAAACCCATATCTTTCTTGTATTCTCCGCTTTCAGTCAAGATCTATCTGGTATCAGTAAGATATTTATTCAGGGCCTCTTCTTAATGCAGCTAGTATTTCCAGAAGTTCCCTCTCTTGAAGTTCTGTATAGTGCTCCAGCCATTTTTAAAATAGTATTTGCAAGAATTTACTTGCCTGTGATATTGATGATATTCAGTATTTTCTGCACTCTGCTGGATCACCCTTCCACACACACCACCGCCGCAATGGTCACAAATCAGTTAGTCAGGTAGCTATCTTCCAAATTTCATGGCCTAGACTAGTAAGCATGTTCAGGGCGTATCTGTGGACTGTAACACCTAAATTCATATTCTGTCAATTCCTGGAACTTTATTTATTTGTCAATACCTTCTGTGCAGCTTGAACTTCTTCGTTCAGTAGCAATGGTTCTTAATCATTTGCTACTTCCTGAAAAGATTAAGTGTTAACCAATTATTTTTGGTACAGTGACTTTGTGTATTCTTTCCACCTTCTTTTGATGATTCCTGCATTATTCAATATTTTCCCACAGACTCCTCAGTATTACAATTAGAGGCTTGCAGTTATTCTTCAGTTCTTTCCATTTGGTATATGTCAAGTGTGTTCTTCTCTTTTGGTTTGCTAATTCCAAATCTTTGTACATTCTGTTATATTATTTACTTACATACGTGTAAAAGACTGCACCTCTCTGGCAGTTCAAATTCACTAGTGGTTCTGAGGGAGAAAGACTAGCAATCTCCCTTGCAATTTACAGCCTCAGAAACCCAATGAAGCATCAGCTCTGAGTCAGTCTTAAATTGATGGCAATGAGCGTGAGTGAATTTATACATTTGAAGAATAGTTATGATTAAATGCAGTAGGAATGAGAGTTTATTACTCATTATAATTGTCCAAAATTTGAAGAGTACAAGATATTGTGATTAATGTGGTAGCTGAAAAAACTTTTCAATTGAGGAGCAGAATGGTGTAGCCGAATTGGTCTGGAAAGAAGGAGGCTTAATTTAAAACTCTACTTCTACTGTTTACTTGTAGTATGATCCTGATCAAGTTGATCTTTAGGCCTCAGTTTCCCTCCCTATAACAGGAAGAGATAAGATTAAATTATTCCAAAGGTTTATTCACAATTATTATAAAGTTTTATGACTTTATGAGGGAGATATAAAACCAGCAATAAATTATTCTATTTTTTTTCTCCCTTCAAAAGATATATTAATCTCTGTGGACTTTGATTCTGCAGTACGAAGGGAAAAAGAAATTTTTACTTCATGTCCACAGCTAACATAAATATCAAGATTGCTTAGCAAGTATAATTCTGTTAATGAAAAAGTGTTTTCTCAAACTAACAGTTTAATGAGTCTTACTCATATGGTAAAATCAAAGACACATCAGACTCAAACATCTTTTACATTGTTGTAAGCCCACGGCTGTCAAGTCAATTCCAATTGACAGTGACCCTCCATTGTATTTAAGAGGCTTTAACTTTTAATAGCAACAGATGATCTTACTTATCTTTTTCCAGTGGAGTGGCTGGTGAATTCCAACCATCAACCCTTTTGGTTAGCAATCCAACATATAATGTGCTATGCCACCAGGATTCCGTAATCATCTTTTGGTGGTGAAGTTAGATGCCAAGGAATCAGCTCCAACTCCAAGCAACCTTATGTACCACAGAACAAAACCCTGCCCCAATCCTGCACCATCCTCACAGCTTATGCTGCTGTTTAAGTCCATTGTTGCTAATTTAAACTATTTTCCAATTTTTTTTTCTTTCTAAAGTTTTTCTGCCACGGAATAATTATAACGCCCAATTTTTTTTATTTTTTTGTTTATTTTTTACCCCATTTTAAATCTAGTTCACTTAGCAGTTAATTCCTTTTGATAAGAGATTTGGTAAGAGATTCTTGGTATTGTTCCAGTCAAAGCTATTTGCAAGTCATACCAAAGTCCATGCCATGAGTAGTATCTTATAGTTTTACTGACATATGCATTTGAATTACTCAAACACAACTTCTATAAACTTGCTCAACACCTGTATTTCAAGGTGATATAGCTTATTCTAACCTGTAATAAGTAAGAATTGGGGCAAGAAATGTGTATCTTAGTGTGAAATAATGCTTCAAAAGAAAATTATCCCTGTGTTGATGATTTTAAAAGTGAAGATGACTTGAAATATACAGTGGTATGGTAATAAATTCAAAATATGGAGCAGCTAAGCCACATAGATATGTCTTGGATAAAATGCAGCCCAAATGCTCCTTGGAAGCAAGGGTGGCAAAGTTTCATCTCACACATACTTTGGTCATGTTGCTAGGAAGGGCTATTCCTCAGAAAAAAGAATAAATAAATCATGCTTGGAAAAGTAGAGGATCAACAAAAGAGAGGAAGATCCTTGAGACGGATTGACACAGTGACTTCAGCAATGGGTCAAGTATGTCAGGGATGATGCAGATGGCATAGGTTGGGAAAGGGTTCTGATCTGTGATTCATAGGGTCATTATTAGTCATGCTTAACTCACTGACACCTAATGACAAGAAGTCACATAGAATTAAATGTTACAGAATCACTGAGGATCTGAAAGGAGTCCTTCCAATTCCTTTTCATCTATTCTTTTTCACAATTAAGAGAAAAGATTATTACAAGTCATAGTAGTATTCTAGATTTTAAGGTTTCAAAATATCCCTAATAATATGTGAAATTCTTATTAACATTAGTACTCAAGTTCAAATGAGTTGTATGTAAACCAAGAAAAATGAGTTAGTTAAATCTTTGGGCACAATCATCTCAGAGTCAGATGACCATCAAGGTTTTAGATTTGCAGAGCTAAGAGAACAGAAGTTGACTGCAGGACTTTTAGCCAGAAATTACTGTGACAAGAGAACACACATGTATATCTGCTTCTCAAGATAAAGAAATACTCTTTAATGGATATATTTCAAGAAAAAATGGAAAACATTACCTTTTTGAAATGTGACATCCAATTTCCCCAGGTAAGGTGGGAGCTCCTTCAAAAGATATTAAAAGAAAAGTAAGCTCTCAAAAAAATAAAAGCATTTTAGTGTTTACATTAAGGCAGAAAATAAAGACTTGCTTCTTCAAAACACAAGAACTAAATACTACATAAATTGACATAGAGTAAATGTAAACTTGAGCAGAAATTCTCCCACACTCTGCAAGATCAAGTTCAGGTCTATTTAAAAGAGAGACCCTATAGGAAAGAGGTTTCCAATAATGTAAATCTGTGGAATTATTCTCTATACTTACTTACTTCCTCACCTATGAGGAAAAAAATTTTATTCTTTCCACAAAGGTATTAACATGCAAATGTCAAATATAGACAATTCAATAAAAAAGAAATTGCTATCACAGAGAAAAATTAGTTGAGAAAAACTCAACTAATACATGAAGACATTTTCATTAAAGTTAGTAAATTTGAGGTCTACTTATAATGCTTGATCATGGCAAAGGTACAGCAAAATAGGAATTTTCCAAAATCTATTGGTCATTAATTAAAGCTTTTTTTAAAAAAAAAATCATTGTGGTTTGAAAGTTTACAAGGCACAGTGGTTTTGCATTCCACAATTCATATACAAATTACTGGTGACACTAATTATAATCTTCACATTGTGAAAGCACTCTTCCCACTGCCTTCCTGTGTTTAAAATGTACCTTCTTTCCTACCCTTTTTTCCTGCTTTCTGAGCTTTATTGCTGGGCAAATGCTGCCTTTTTTATCTAGTACAGCTGACTGTTGTTATAAACAGTGTGTTCCACCTTGGTGTTGTCATCTTATTTCATTCCCATCAAGACATAACCAACTCATAGCTGACCCTCCATTTGATTTCTGATGTTATAAATCATATGAGAGAAGATTGTTTATCTTTTCTGGAGCTGCTGGTGGATCCAAACCATCAGAGCGGTTCAGCCTTTGGAACAGCAGTGCAGCTTCCTACAGATTAACACTGTTGTTCTTGTTATGTGACATCAAGTTGATTATGACTCACAGTGACCTCATGAACAAGAGATCTGAGCTTTGCCTATCCCTTGTCATCCTTATCTTCTGGCATACTTGATCCCATATTACAGTCCGTGTCAATCCATTTCGTTAAGAGTCTTCTCTTTTGCTGGCCCTCCATCTTCCAAACATGCTATCTTTTTCCAAAGACTGGCCTCTGTTAACAGCATGCCCAAACTATGTAAGATGAAGTTTCACCACTCTTGCCTCTTAGGAGTGCTTCAGTTACACTCTCTCCAAAACATATATAGGCCTGTCTACTGTTCGACTGAAAGAAACATGGATCTCTTTCACTTATTCAGTCAGACAGCTGTCCTCCAAATTTCCTAGCACAGATCATGTTTGTTCCATATTATGGACCTCCATAAAGAGATCCATATTTGTTCCCATTCCCAAGAAAGGTGATCCAAAAGAATCTATAAACTATCCAATAATATCCTTAATTTCACACAAGCAAAGTACTGCTGAAGATAATTTAAAAATTGCTAGAACAGAACATAGAGAATTGCTAGAAATTCAATCTGGATTTAGAAGAGGCTGTGGCACCAGGGATATCACTGAAGATGCCAAATGGATCCTGGCTGAAAGCCAAGAATACTAGAAGAATGTTTATTTTTGCTTTATTGACTATGCAAAGCCATTTGACTGTGTAGATTGTACCAAATTATGGTTAACATTGAGAAGAATAGGAATACTAGACAATTAATTGTGCTTATGTGAAATCTATCCCTAGACCAAGAGGCTGTTGTGGAACAATACGTGGTTTAAAATAACAAAGATGTGTATTAGGATGCATCAGTAACTCTCTCCATACTCATTCAATCTGTATGCTGAGCAAATTATTTGAGAAACTAACTCTATGAAGAAGAATGTGGTATCAGGATCAGAGAAGACTCATCAACAACCAGCATTACGCAGACGACACAATCCTGCTTGCTAAAAGTGAGAAAGACTTGAAATGCTTGCTGCAGAAGATCAAAGAATATAGCCTTTAATATGGATTGCATCGAAATGTCAAGAAAACAAAAATTCTCACTGGACCAATAGGCGACATCATGACAGATGGAGAGTAGATTAAAACTGTCAATGATTTCATCTTACTTGGGTCCACAATCAACACCCTTAGTATCAAGAGGCAAGGAGATCAGGAAACATACTGTTCCAGAAAAATCTGTAGTCAGGGACCTCTTCCAATCTTTGAGGAACAATGATGTCAGTTTAAGAACTAGGGTGCCTAACTGAGGTCATGATCTGAGATTTGAACAATGAATAAGGATAACATAAGGAAAACTGATGCCTTGAGTTATGGTACTGGAGGAGAGTACTGGGTATCCCATGGACTGCCAAAAGAACAAATGGATGAGTCCTGGAGAAGGTACAGCCAAAGTGTTTGTTGGAGACAAAAATAATGTCTCATCTCACATACTTTGGGCATACTGTTAGGAGAGGTTATTGCTTGGAGAGGGATATCATGATTAGAAAGATGGAGGATTGGCAAGAGAGAGGAAGAGCCTGAACCAGATAGATTAACACAGTGAACGCAGCAATAAACTCAAGTATGTCAGAGATTATAAGGATGGTACAGGACAAGCATAGGACAGGGTTCAGATCTGTTCATATAGTTGCTATGGGTCATACTTGACTCAACATCAACTAACAATAATAATAACAATTGTTTAGGCGGAAGTTGAGTCAAGAGAGTAACTGTCATTTCAGGCTTAAAGGGTGTCAAGGACCATAGTCTTGGGGATTCCACCAGCCTACTGGATCAGTAAGACTTGGGTGGTTGGTTTTTTAAAATGATTTTGTGTTTAGTTTCAATTTTTTCTCCAACAATGTCAGTGTCCTTCTCTGTGATCCATTTCAGAGAGGTCAGCAGTATTTGCCAACACCAGCTAGTTCTTTTGGTGTGATATTAGAACTCTTCTAAATTCTTTAAAAAAGTAAGCTGACAATAGCAACTGACAATCTATATTAAGACTCTAAAATACTCCTAATCTTTACCCAGTAACTTCCCTTCTGAGAGGCTTTTAGAAAGTTAATTTTAAATACAAAGCAACTTTATACCATACTTTTAGTAAACATAAAAATATTTTAATATATAGATTTAGAAATATATCTTTAAGAACTTTATATAAGTATTAAGTAAAAATTTAGAGACAGCTTTATCTTTAAACACAAAGATGCTCAATGCAATGTCATGTACAATAGTAAAAATTTAGAACTAGTCCAAATGCCCAACAACAGAGGAATGGTTAAAGTGTAACAATACACTCACTGAATGAAATGATACACAGTCATTTCAAATGTTGATGGAAAGCAGTTTCCACACTGTAAAATTAAAATATTTTTTAAAACACAAAATACAAAATACACAGATCACAACTATATAAAAACCACAAAGCATTACATTCTTTTGGTAGTAAATTAATTTTATTTTTCAGAATTTACTATAATAAGCATATAAACCAGATTTATATGATTTATTATAATCAGATTTTTAAAGAATCTATTCTTATAATACTTGGATTAAAACTAATTTTTAACTAATTTTTATCTTTAATCTGAAGAAACTATAGACTGTGTCAAGCAAGTTGAATTCCTATAGTTTTATCTTTGAGGACTTTAGAAAAAAATATTTATTAAAATTTATAGTTTATTAAAATATTGGTGGTAACAAGAAGGAAGGATGGTGAAACATCATCTCACATACTATAGGCTTGTTGCTGGAAGGGTAAAGTCCTGAGAGAAGGACATCATACTTGGAAAAGCAGAATGTCAGCAAAGGAGGGGATGACTCTCAAGGAGATAGATTAACACAGACACCTTAACAATGGGCTCAACTGTGACGAGATGGTGAGGATGACACAAGACAGGGCAAGGTTCAGATCTGTCATTGAAAGGCCTGCCTGGAGTCATAGTCCACTCATTGGCAACTAACAACTACAACAACATAAGAGTATTTCTAAAAAGAAGTCCATATAGGTGAGTTTGTATATATAGTGCAAAGGAAAGTCAGAATAGATTTTTAAATATTTCCTTTGACATTTGTTATTGGATCATTATCATTTACTTTTATTGTTATTGAGGCAACATCTTATATTCACTGTTTTTAAAAAGGTTAGTGGTCCAGAGCTTATTTATGATGCATTTTTACGTACACAGTACTTGATATCAGCGATGTTTACATTCACTCCAGTTGATCTCTTTAGATTCCCATCATGTGATACTACGACTTGCTCATCTTTTGTGATATGGCAGTCCAATTCCAGCATATCAGTTCCAATTTTAACTGCACTGGATAAATAAAAGGAACAGCAGTGAGAAACCTATTAACAATTCTAAAGCATAAGCTCCTAGATTTATATGCATCAGAGATAAAAATTTGAAATTACAGATAAATAGTAAACACACACCTGAATTATGACAAATGGCACTTAAAGTCTTCCTTTTTCTTCCATTCATCTTATCATGAGTAACATGTACTATCCAAGTAATTTGCTGATATTATCATTCTTTGATGTAATGCTTCCAACATCCAAAGACAAATGAAGACTAGATTTATAAAGATACTGATAATTAAAAATATTAATAACAAAAACAGAAAAAATAAATAAAAAAGGAAGTACGCAACTTGGGTCAGAACCAAATTACAACAGAGTAAAATGTTGGAAAGGGAGCTCTGGTGGGGTAGTCTGTAGAGTTGAGCTGCTAACTCAAGAGTGATGTTTCCAGATCTGGCAGTTCAAATCCACCAGCGGCTCTATTGGGAAAAGGATGGTTAGTCTCCTCATGTGTGATTTACAGCATCCAAAAAAACCCCACTGGATGGTCAGTTCCATCTGACAATGAATTTTTTCCTTGGAAAGTCATCTATCACACTGTAGGTTACAAACTGTCCAAACTCTAAATTTATAATCAGAGTATGATGTTGCCTCATTTCTCCAATTCTGGAAACCAAATATAACGGAAAAAACACTGGACCAAAAGTTATGAGAGCCAGTTCCTGCTTTGCTATAGGTGCCAGTTTCTGCTTTTCTAAGAACTACTCTATGGTTTTGGACAAGTATATTTCCCACTTTGGGCCTACATATCCAAAATTCTATTCAAAGATCATCTCTAAGGTTAAAGATAGTGTAATGATTGGTTAAGAATACAGACTGTGATGCTAGATTGCCTAGGTTCAAATTCTAGCTCTGTTACTTACTTAGGCAAGTCATTCAATTTCTCTATGCCTCAATTTCCTAATTTTTTAAATTGTGATTTTAATGAAAGTTTATAAAGAACTTGTATTTCCATTCATTTATTCATTGTTGTACATTTTCCTACCTACTCCCCTTCCCCCCCTCCCAGTTTGCTTTTTTCTTTGGGAAAAAAGTTCTTCATAATTTTCTAATTTTTAAGAGTAAGGATACTATATGAATTTAGTATGCAAACTAATATTTTTTTTTAATTATCTCACGGAAGTTGCACCCGATTGTGCAGTTAGCTCGGGTTTCGTCTTTGTGCTCGTAGAGGTGGGCTTGAGAAAAGCGTCAACATGCCTTTGGCAAGAGATTTATTATACATCCTTCCATCGAGGATGAGAAGAAAAAGCATAAAAATAAACGGCTAGTTCAAAGCCCAAATTCTTATTTTATGGATGTAAAATGTCCAGGTTGCTACAAGATTACCACAGTTTTCAGCCATGCTCAGACAGTGGTTCTTTGTGTAGGTTGTTCAACAGTGTTGTGTCAGCCCACAGGGGGAAAAGCCAGACTCACAGAAGGTTGTTCATTCAGAAGAAAACAACACTAATGCTCTCTACGACTTCCTGAATTTCTCTTCAGTCACAAAAAGCCTTACCAATCAGTAATTCCGGTTAATCCATCATGATAATATAATAACATTTCAGTTTTTCGTAAAGTATGTGGCACTTACTTCTTTTGGTGACAGTTTTTTCAATAAAGTTTTTATTATGGGGGAAAAAAATTAGCTCACACCCAAGCAGATATATGCACACCCATGTTTATTGCAGTTTTGTTCACAGCAGCAATGAGTTGGAAACACCCTAAGTGCACATCAACAAACGAATGGCTAGAGAAGCTCTGGTATATTCACACAATGGAATACTATGCAGCACTGAAAAACAAGGAACTCATACAATATTATTCAAAATGGGTGACTCTGGAGGGCATTATGCTGAGTGAAATATCTCGGTCAGAAAAGGACAAATACTTCATAATGCCACTGTTGTAAAACAGGACTGATATCAGGACTGGAGGGGAACTGAGAAAGATGGGATAAATAATGTATACTGCATTGAAACAGATGAGGGAGAAAACTGTTTAAAAGCGATATGTGATTAGGTATTATTGTCATGACAGAAGTCCAGAACAAAAGCTGCATAGTGGAGTGGACCTGGGGGGGAGGGATTGTGAAACAATGAAAGAATTTTTCTTTTACTTTTCAAAGAGACGAGTGTACTGGGGGGGAGGGGTGGGCAGGGAGAAAAGTACAACAATGAATGAATGGAAATCCAAAATCTCAGTAAATTTTCATTAAAATTAATAATAATAATTTTAAAAAGAAAAAAATTAGTTCACTTAGCATAATGCTGTCCAGTCCCTCCCAAATTAGGTAATAATTTACAAAATAATTGCTCCTGCATGCTGTGTATTATTTGATTGTGTGAATGTACCATAATGTCTTAATCCATTCCATGTGGTTAGACATTTGGGCTGTTCCCATGTCCTTGCTATGGTGATTAATGCTGCTATAAATACTGGTGTACGAGTCTGTTTGTGCCTCTGTCCTCATTTTCTCAGGGTATATTCCAAGCAGTGGTATAGCTGAGTCATATGGAATTTCTATGTTCAGCGTTCTAAGGAAACACCAAACTGACAAATACTGTATAAGATCATTATTGTAGAACATGTATGCAGATGAAAGGGGTGGGGGAGCAGAGAGGTGAGAATGGGTGGAGTAAGTATGCTAATCATAGGGTTGCACAATTTGATGGGTGGAGGGAGGAGTAGGTAAAGGAAAGGGGAAAGATCCAGTGTGAAAAACAGTGCATAGAATTTTGTAAGTAAAGCAGTATAAAATAAAAATTTTATTAAAAAAATTTAAAGAATGAGGATAATAGTTTCCCACTCTTCCTCTTCACTTTGTACTTTATTCTCCTAGTATTTCCTCTGTCTGAAATGTTCAAGATCAAAATTCATTAGGGAATTGTAAATTAAAATCACAATGATATGCCACTACCCACTTACCAGAATAGCTAAAATTAAAAGGGTTTATATTACCAAGTGTTAGGAAGAGTGTGATGACACTGTAACATATGTACATTGCTAACAGAGGTATGAATTGATATAATCACTTTGGAGCACAGAATCCTACACCTACCCTACATCACAAGAAGGATGGGAAATCTCCTCCCATGCAATTTACTGTCTCTCAAAACCTGCTGGAGGGTCACCTATGAGCTGGTTCTGACTTGATGCCACATGATAACAATAGTGCATTTGACCATCAAAATCATGTACAATATTATTTTAGACAACATCAAAGATGAATCTTACAGATATAATTTATAAGAAAGGAAATCCAGAAACAACTTCACATAATATGCAATTATATAAGGAATAGGCAAAATCAATATAATTATGGTTATCTGAGGGCAGCAACTGAGTAATGCCTGGGAAGATTATACAGGAGCCTTCACGGTACTAAGAATATGTTATATCTTGATCTGGGTAGTGTTTATAAAGTGTACAAAATGTAAGATTTGTATATTATAGACACCATTATAGAGAATTATAAGATAGACATTTTTAACATGTCTTCCTCCCTAATACTAAATTAATTCATACTTGTTCTCAAGGTTTATGTTTAGAAATTACCACTTCAGAATACCTTCTGCAAAGATCTGGAATTGGAAAACAAAAGGGGAATAACTACTTGGCCTTTCTCAAGCTGGAAGAACTACAAAACAAATTCAAGTTTTAAATTTCAATACTGAAGGATGTCATGGGCAGAATCCTGAATGATCCACAAAGCATCACAAGAAGATGGAAGGTATACATAAGCTACTGTAGAAAACAAATTAGCAGACATAGAACCATTTCAGGAAGTATCACATGATCAAGAACCAATGATGATGAAGGAAACTGTTAAAGTTACAGTGAAGGCATTAGCAAAAAAATAAGGTCCCAGGAATCAAAGAGATACCAACTGCTATGTTTCAACAAACAGATGCAGCCCTAGACATGTTCATTAAGCTATGTGAGGAAATTTGGAAGACATCTACCTAATCAACCGACTGGAAAAGATGCATATTTGTTCCCATTCCCAAAAAAGGTGATCCAAAAGAATGTGGAAATCAAGAAATATCTTTAGAGTACCAGAGGAATGTCTATTTTTGTATTATTGACTAAGCAAAGGCATTTGACTGTGTGAGTCAAAACAAATTGTGGCTGATATTGAAAAGAATGGGAATTTTAGAACATTTAATTGTGTTCATGCAAAATCTATTCCTAAGGGACCTCTGATGGCCTAATGGCAAGAAGCTGCACTGCAATCGTGAAGGTGTGTGGTTCGAATTCACCAGATGCTTCATTGGCAATCTCCTCCTGTGCCAGTCAGATCCCAGTGAACGGTACACAATAAGGGGGGAAAAAAATCATACGTAGACTAAGAAGCTATTGTACAAATAAAGCAAGGGAACCTTCATGGGTTAAAATCATGAAAGGTCTGTGTCAGGGTCATACCTTTCTCCATACCTATTCAATCTGTATGAAGAACTAATAATCTTACAAAAAGTTGGACTATATGAAGAAGAATGTGCGATCAGGATCAGAGGAAGACTCATCAATAACCTGTGTTATGCAGATGACACAACCTTGCTTGCTGAAAGTAAGAAGGACTTGAAACACTTGTTGCAGAGGATCAAAAATTATAACCTTCAAGGGAGCTCTGGTGGCCTTGTGGCAAGAACTGCACTGCAATCCCAAAGGTATGCGGTTCGAACCTACCAGATGCTGTGCTGGAGAAGGAGGGGCAATCTCCTACTGTACCAGTCAGATCCGATTTGACGGTACACACAAAAAAATCTAATAATAATTTTTTAAAAAGACATGCATCGAACTCATTCGATTTTTTTAAATTTAATTTTAATTTTACATTGGTTTGCAAAGTTTGTATACATTGTGTTTCACACTATCCTTAATTTACATTGCGCTTCATACAGTCATTCTCATTCATTATGTTTATAGCAGCTGAGTTTCTGACAAGCTGATGGTGACTGATGGTACATC